GGCAAAGTGAAATATATCCGTGACAGTTACCTGCAATATTTGCTCAAACCTGGAATTAAAATAACATTTTACCCGAGTTCGCAGTTATCTGATTATAGCGATTACGAAGGGGCTCACTACTTGTTTATTTTGTGAGTCTAATTGATGAGTGTCGTCTGATTAAATTATATATTTTGGGGATTTCTACAAAAGTAACGTGTTTGTCTTTGAGAAAACCATAAAATCCCCACAGNCGATCGACTCGGGCGATGTGGCCGGAAATGGAAACTTGATTACTTTTCTCAGCCGTGCTCGCACGATTTGAGTCGGGAAAATGTATGTGGCATTGAGTATCCAGCATCACAGCTTTGATATTTCGACCACCACGCCCAATCACGTGACTATGATCCGTGTGCGGAACATCGATCATCAGAGTGACCCGATTTTCTTGGGAAGTATGACGAACGGGTGAAGTCAAGTTGGATTCTCTTCTACGCCATGATAATAGATCCGAATTCAGGGTTGGGAGATCATTTTCGGCATGACTGACGGAACCTGTAAGTAAAACAAAGTAATCCAAATCTCGGGTCCCAAATTAGTTAAAACATCAGAAGGACAGTGTCCATAAAACTATTCTCCCCACCAACTGCAGAGGACGGATGAGTAGTTTCGATCAAGACATTTATCTATTTAAGTTTGCTTCTTTAAGCCACCATTTCAATGAATGATCGAAAGTTTAATATCGATCGGAGTATACTATCTCGACAATAACCGGCAGGAATCGGGTTGAGGTACTTAAAGCAGTTCAGTTAAAGGTCATGAAATTTAATGTGGTTTGTCTTGCTTTTGACGCGTATCCAACCACGATTTGTAGTAGCCTACCGCTATGCAGGAAACTTACATTTTCCAAAACACATGGTAATGAATTAGATTCGAAAAGTATAACAAAATCATATACGAAAGTTACAGGTTTTTAGCGTCCACAGCGCAGCATGGTCCACACAATGCAGTGAAATAAGAGTAGCGTATGACCCCGACATCATTATAGCATCTTGACGTGATGAAGATCGTTCCTTTTTGACATTATCTGATACTCCAGTATGAGTTTATTCTGACAGTTGTGAGAGAACACAATTTCAGATGAACAATTGTTTTTAATAACTCATTTTCATGCCGTTACAGTTTAAATGAGGAAGAAAACCTAGGGGTTGGGAGGAAAACAATAAAATGTGAGGAATCGTTCATTTTGTGTGTATGTGTTGCACACCGCATTCTTAGATCTGTGCTTCCACGGTTTTCAGTTATGTTGCGTCTGTCGTGTGACCCAGTTCTGAGGAATCGGTGTTGTGGTGTGAAAATTTGTGTGCGCATGTGACAGGGGGGAGGGTTGGTTTCGCGAGCCCAGAGGAGATGAATAGCTTGGATAAGACGAATCTAGGAACACAGTTCGGAGGTCAAACGTTTAAAACAGATGGCTTCGGCTATGGCCAACATAAGCATCCTAACATATTTAGACCGGTTCAGAGGAACCTGATAAATAATGCGAAAAACTTTACTTGGCTGTGCAACGCACATACACAAAATGAATGAGTCCTCACATTTCATTGTTCTACCAGTCCCTAGGTATTTCCCCTCATATAAATTATAACGGCATGATTATGAGCAAGTGATAATTGGGAACCAATTATGAAACAAACTCATGAATACTTTAATTACCTTCCCTCTCTTTTTCCTTGTAAATCCTTCTTTGATACTAGTCATATTTATTGTATTGTAATGGCATGATTAAGACACACTGAAAACGAGCTTGTTTGCCAATTTTTGTTCTCATTATGATTATGAATTATTGAAAACAATTATTTGTCTGAAATGGTGTTCCAAACGGGAGTATGAACATATTTCGAAAATTGAAAGTGGTAAGATAATTGGTGTCTCTGTAAAACTATTGCCCTATATTCGTGATTGGAAGATTCTAACGCCTGTTCGATCCTCGCGGGAAAATATGAGCATTTCATCTATTGAATCGAGTTGATCAACCAACAAAAAGTATATGGTACTTTATATGGCAGAACATGTCCCATATCGTTTCTTTTTAAAACAGCCAAAATCGTAGGTATTAATACAAGCAAAAAACGATAGATCAATGTAGAATATTTCTTTGGGGGAGTGGGTGGGTAAAAAAATCAGATAAATTTCAATGAATAACTATAATTCGGTCTTCTCACATAAATCTTTGTCATTCTGATAATCGTAGTCGATCATTTCATCGGATCTGTTTCTTTGAGACATTCCAAGCTAAAATTAAATACATCGCATTTTCTTCAAAAGCCTGAAACATCCTGAAGCTGTCATCCAGCTGCCGAAACAGTTTGGAATACAACTCTATCCACAGTACCAATTGGCAGTAAATCCACGTCCTATCCAGACCATAATAGAGCAGCATTACGTCTAAAGTGTTCGAAACATTGTTATCGTAGATTTTACTTGCTAGATTTGTTCCCACGTGGTCGCACTGACAGACACACGCTCAAGCGACAACCTTCGCTCAGCTGGTGATGAAAAACTAACTGGTTTAGGTTGGACAGTGGAATGACGCATCTCGAGATTAAAAAACAATGCTACAAACACAGGAACGGAAGGACCCTGGATTATAGATCCCGAAACAAGTATTAGTCACGGGTTTCGATATTGGTCTGAACCAAGCAATCTGCCCCTCGAGTCATCTTAATCACGACATGTTAGCGCGAACATGGAATGCATGAGAATGTGGGCGCACGGGTTTTGTTGTTATTTCATGCCAGCGTAGTTAACGCAGCAACCTAGCCATTGGAAAAACATCTAACGCTACCGTTTTTCTTATTCTTCAGTTCTGTGACAAGTCACAGCAAATCAGAGTAGTCACTGAAGTTAACAGATATTCGAGAATGTTTATTTCCAATGAGTTATTTCACTTATTATGATTTCTGTTTAACCGGTTCCTTATCTAACGTTCAAACAGCGCAGCAAATTTGCTTCGATAGCTTATTCACGTGACATGGGCGGCGAATTCACAGCTGGAGATCGATACACAGACCGTAGAGTGTGTGGGAAAAATTTGAATCGCTGGATCGAACGTATTTGAGTGAGTCACCAAACCTGGAAGTGACAAGTAGAGAGTTTTGGTATGCTTGCGTAAAATTCCTCTTGATTCCAAATGGGACTTCATGCCATAAAACCGACGACCAAGTTATTAACCGTGATTCACGGTTAGCCGTGAGATGATGGCCGTTGCCCTATTCGCGACATGGGGACGCGTTCGGTAGCATACAGCTCTGCTCTCGCGAGAAGCAATTGAAAACCGAGTAAGATATCCAGTGGTAGCAAACGAAGCAGTCACGTGGTCTCTTCACGTCAAATTGAAAGTTGGCGGGCAAGGGGTCATTGCATTAACAAATGTGTATATGTAGGGTTGAACGTAACCGAACACTACTTCAGCAAGCAGATCAACAAAGAAAACTCATGCCAGATTGATAACCCTGAATGCGTAAGTTGCTGCAATATCTGAAAAGGATGATGACGTTAACTGGTTATCCGGAAGCCATTTAAGGAAAGAACTAGAATAAGCGGTCGCGGACGATCTGCGACAGCGCTCGAGGATGTGGTGGGCTTACCCCTTGCAAGGATTCTCCGCACAAAATACCACATATCTGTGGACAGTGCTGTTACGTGGCGAATGTGGCCTGCCACATAATATGACCATCGTCCTTTGTCGAAATCCATTGTTCGGCAAGGTTCCAGCAGAGACGAATAAACCAAATACTGGCCACCGGCTCATCTGGAATATCGCTTCTGCCATGAAGTCCGCGCTTAGTTGAGCAAAAGCCTACGATGGACCAGGCAACTGAGTAGTACAATAGCCCACAACGCCAGCAAAGATGAACTCTATGTGCATTCAGTCTACAATTTCTGCAACTTGAGACAAACGCTGTGCACCATACACACACTTATGTCCCCCCAGCCCTCCCCATCCCACATCCACCCCGTTAACCCATCCCCTTTCTTGGGATCTTCAGACGATCGTGCAAACACCAGTAGCCCAGATGAAAACTCTGCCGCTGTTCCCTCATGTCCTTCCTCGACTACTATCTTAGTCTCATCGAATCCTCCACCAGCTGAAGCCCTTCTTCACCCTCGANCCCTCGATGTCCTTTCAAACTAGCCACATTTAATGTGCGCACTCTGATGCGTATAGGACAACAGGCCGGTTTAGCTCGTACTCTCGAGACCCTAGCCATTGATGTGTGTTGTATCCAAGAGACTCACATTAAAGACTCCAGCTCCACTATCCGATTGACGTCCCCGTCTAACCAATATGTGAAGTTTCACTTACGCCTTTCTGGGGACCCTGATGCTGCGGCTTCCGATCTTGCTGGCGTTGGTGTGGCTCTCGGTGAGAGAGCTGAAGCTGAGCTCTTGGATTGGTTCACAGTCGACAGTAGGTTGTGCGCAGTGAGACTTAGAGGTGCGTGCAAAGTA